TACTCTGTTTTAGATTTATTTCAATAATCCAAGAATCTCTATGTATGAATGGCAACTCTAGCTGATTCGGTGTACCTCAGTTGCACTCGACATTTGCACAATAGAGTTACCTGTTCTGATTCATAGAGAAAACGATGAAAAAAATGTAATTTTTTTTTCTTTCTGTCGTCTATAGTTTATAGAAGAACACATAGTGAATATAGATTCGTGGCTCAGTGGCCAAAAGAGACGATAAGAAAACATATATATTTCTTTAGACACGGGTTCGATTCCCGCTCGAATATTTTTCAAAAATTAAAAATTTTTTTTTTAAAAAGCGCGATGACCCTTTTGAAACATGGCGTACAAGGTTTTCGACTATGCTGGACACGATGCACTAGTTTTCTTTTGGTAACCCCCTCAGAAAATTTATCGGAAATTTTGATATGCAATAGTATGTTAAAATCAAATCTTTACTCTGGAATTCAGTGGATTTTCCAGCTAAACGCCATTCGATAGCGCATTTGGCGCTTGATATTTGATACTATTTAAATCACAGAAAAGTTCACTTTCGATTGTCGACCAAATGTGTAGGTAAAGTTAGCACCAGATTCGAATATTTTCGACCCAGATTCATTTCCAAACTGGAGAAGAGGTGGTCCACATAGAGCTCGACAAGCTCTACAAAACACTATTTTTCCGTTCTCCGAACAAACAATGGTTTATGAGAAAAAATTCAAAAACTGCCTTTTTCAATAAGAAACATTGTGGTTTTTCAGTAAACATTTTACAGATTCATTCCGAGACTTGGTCCAAAGCTTATATCTACATTGTTCGATGGAACTCATCCAGGCACATACGACCATGTCCTCTGATGACCTTCATCTAGACAAAAACATTAGAAAGTTTTCCAAAGATCCTTTTTATCGGTGGTATCCAGGAATAAAAGTTCCGCAGATTCATCCCACGACTTGTTCCAAAGGTTACATTGTTCGATAGAATTCATCGAGGCGCATGCGCCAGTGTCCTTTGATGATCCTCATCTTAACAAAAATATTAGAAAGTTTTCGAAACGTACTTTTCTCGGTTGTGTTTTGTCGAAAATAGACTACTTTTCGTAGTTGTTTTACGACGAATGGAAACAGTTTTGGAAAGAGGTAAATTCTTCTCACTGAGACAAAATGTGCATAACCGGTATATATTGTGCAATGGCGTAACTAGGATTTTTGGACTGCTGGGCCGTGTTCCGTAGAGTCAAAAAGAATCGGTGGGCCTAGGTGGGGCGAACGTTGCCTGCTTGGGCAAGAAATATCTACAAATTTTGTTTTGTTGCCGAGAAATTCTATTTTTTCGAAATTACTGGAAATATAATGAAATTGGGCGCGTATTTTGCCGTTTTCTCTATTAGAAATCAACTTTTCGACACAAAAAAGGCCAGCTTCAGAATCAGCGTTACAAACTGAGTTGAAAAATATGTGTTTCGGGATCTTTGAAGTAGTCCGTATTGTTTCGATTTTTCTCGATTTTCTCAAAAGTTAAAAATAAAACGCGGGATTTTCACTAAAAATCTAAAATTCCCGAAAATACCCGAAACGCAGTTTTCAACTGTGGTTTTCACCCTGATCCCAAATAGCCTTTTCTTTTGTCGAAAAGTTGATTTTTAATGGAGGAAACGGCAAAATACGCGGCAAATTTTATTATTTTTTCACTGATTTCTCGGAAACAAAACAAAATTTTCCAAAAGGATGCTTAACCTTTTTTCCACAAGTATCGTGATAAGTAAAAGAAAAAATTATATCTCGAAAATCGTAGGACTAGATAGGTTCGTAGAATTGACCGGCAGCCCCTTTACCATTCTGCTCGTACTCCGCAGATTCTGAGTCCATTTTAGCTTCTAAAGTTACCAGAATTAGCTTTCCAGTCTCAGTTTTTGGTGGAAAATAAGAAAAAAATGGTTTTGAAATTTCAAAACGCTATCAAACATGAAAATTTCACTGTTTTTTCTTGCTGTTCAAAAAGTCAATATTTTTCAAGTTTTTCTTGCAAAAATGACCTTGAAAAATCTTAAAAAAAGGAAAAATTGGCTTTTTCCCATCTAAGTCGGTGAGCTCTACCCAACGATGGCAAAAAAAAGTGAAACAAAAATCATGCTATATCTTTGGATTGGCACCACATTATTTCGCTTTCAGGTCACAAACGTTATTCAGGATTGATAGGTGAAGGAAAAGCTTTGGGTAGAACACTCAAAAACAATTTGTATTCGGCCAATGCTCAGATCGTGTTGGACCATGGCCCACTGGCCTCCTCCGTAGTTACGCCTATGATATTGTGGGTGATTAATGTGAATATCGTGTTTTCATTTTCGACGTCAGACCTAATTCTTTTGTTTTTCTTTGTAGAAAAAACAGAATAGAAAGTAAATATTTGGATTCATTCAATAGACGAGTGTCGAGTTTCAGTTCAAAATATAAATACTGAAAATATCCAAATTGGTATTTCGTACATTAATTTCACATTTAATTTTGTTGTTTTTTATCTTCCATCCATTTGAGAAAAGTTGCAGATGAAAATGATTTTGTTTTCGAGGTGGCCAGGCATTCAAATATCATTTCAAAGAGATTTTCATAAAGAGCTGTGGCTAAAGCTTCCATTGTTTTATGGTGATCCCCACATGATTTGAAATATTGTTTAGTTTTATCTCTTTTGTATTTTAATGTATCGGCTAACTCCACTCCAAATATATTTCAAACGAATTTTAATACAGATCTACATGTATTCATTTCAATACGGTCAAGTCCAGGACGCAGTAACACATTATTGAATTACTTGTGATAAAAACTACTGAATGTAAACCACCATCTACTAATCAACGTATCTACTATCAACCATCTACTATCAATGTAAACCATTGACGTGTATTATCATCGGAATTAGTAACTTACTGAGAATTTCTGTTGTAAATCACGTAGAATTAAACGAATACTTTCGTAAGAGCCCGGATTGATTGTGTACAGAGGATCCAGTTATCGTTCAAGATGGTTACTGGTATCTGTATCGAAGTTAAATAGATTTTTACGATATTTTGTTTGCACATTTCGCAACATGAGAGCAAATTTACTTCAAAATGTTCGTAGAAATCAGTTCTTTCTATTTTTGATTTCTTTCAAATATATAGCCGACATTTGATCGTTATCGTAATGCAATCTGCAAATGTTTTTCATAATATTCATTCAATCTGTTAATGGAATTTTAAGCACATGAATTTGACTTTTTAAATATTTCAGAACGTGGAATACGCATAATAATATTCTCGCTTTACCAAAATACGGTTGTAAAATATCAACGTTTGTTAAATGTTTATCAACAATAACAACTGGCGTTTCTGTTAAACCATTTTGTTTACTCATTGCTGAATAAAAGAATTCTAAATTATCGTTATTTCCACTGATCATTAAGCAATAAGCAACAGGTACTCCTTTTAAATTTGCATTTTGTACCAGACATACATATAATTGATAATTTTCGATGTTTACTTCAAACGTTGAATCTATCTGTAGCATATTCGAATAATTCTCAAACCATACTGTCCGTTGAACAGTCTGAATATATAAGCATTCTAAATTATCATTTTCATTAACTTTAATTTGAATTGAATTGCGTTGATTTTCATTTAAAATTTGATCAATCCAGTTTTACAATGATTCTGGATCACTTTGATTCCCAATTAGGTTAAATTTTATCTTTTATTTAAAATTATCTATATCTTTACTTGTTAAATTAATGTCCAATTTTTCATTCATTAATTTTCGATTATTGTATACTGAAGAATGCAAACCGATATGATGAAGCGAAGTAGATCGGCTAGCGCATTTTCTTCGTTCTTTCTTGTTCTTTAGTTATAACGGAGCATTTCAAGGTTTAACGGGGTGATTAATGTGGTTTTATGGTTAGCGGACGATTCTTTATCCTGATCGATTCGTACAAAAGAATCTGACAGGAATCCGATAAGGAACTTATAAGAATCCCTTATGACTCGTATAAGAATCTTATTAGATTCTGATTGAATTCTTACATAAGAAGTCTGCACGAAAGTGACAAGAATTTGACAAAAAACAGATAAGGATCAGTTAAGGATCCTGTAAGAATTCGACAAGAAGCCGGCAAGAACTGAGAAAAACTTCTAATGTTTTCTTTCCTTCTTTAGCTAGCTGTATGGTTCATTAGTGAGTGTGTAATAGGTCGCTAGGCATTCTCAGAACGGCCAGTCTTACCTACCTTGAAGAAACTTCGAAAAAATTTCCGAGAAATCAATGGTACTGTTAGAGCATAACATGTATCATAAGCAATCTGACTATAGCTCATAGCAAACATTTAAAATGAACAAAATGATGCAACTCTAAATCACACCAAGCTAGGATTATCTGGAAACCTATGACGTAATGAAAAGAGATTGAAATCCTATGAATGATGAAATAGTACCTAGAAGAGCGTACAAGACCATTGGTCTGATGTAATAGATAACTACCATATTATATCGCAAAAACCGAACCAGATCATATGTATGACGAAATAGACAAAAGAAAGAGAACATATATATGATGAAATGGACAAAGAGAAAGAGATCATATGTATGATGACACATAAAAAGGGAACGAAAAGAGATAAACGAAATACATGATGAAACAGTTAAAACAGAATGACCTTTAACTTAGGGAGTGAACGTATTCACTTCCTAACACCTCCCTCCCACCGAGAAGATGAACGTCCCGTTCATAAGAAATAAAAGAGCTTGATGTTACAGAGAGTTGTTGTTAGTTTGTAAAACATCCGCTTATGTTGCTGTTGTTTGATTTGATGATCGGTCTTTGGAAGATCAGGTATTGTACCGGTCGCTGTCATATCCAAGAATTTTATCATGGAAGTATTTGAATATTACCATTAACAAATTACGATGTGTCGACCCACCATAAAATAGAATGATAATGTATCTATGTGAAACATGTCAGCCTAGCTAAATTAATCCTCATTATCATTATGAGTAAACACAGTGGGTGGTGTTATAACCATTTCCACTATTATTATGATGTAAATGATATTTGAATAAAATGTAACGGGCCCTATCAGTCAGTGAAGGCTAATGAACTCTCCCTCGATATCGTGCTAATCACATAAATTACATAATTTTATGTCATAATAATCACTATAGCCTTCCAATTACCCAGTACCAGTACCGTATAACACCATCAAAAATCCAGGACAGGAACCGTCTTTGCTGCGGAATACAACCTGTCTGCAAGCTAATTTTGGACTGATTTACTATTCATTTCAATAAATAATGCACTCGGTTGTAAGTTGAATAACTCCGGATAGGAAGCAGCTAAAGACCTGATATTTTCAACATTCGAAAGAGAATAATATTTTTTATACAGAAGTGTCAAAAGCTACTTGATCCTACTTGAACTGATTTTCACATTTTCATTACATCTTTTTGTAAAAATAAGATAATATTCTTGGTCTTGATTGATAAAAGTAGTCCCACTCAAAAAGATTTTAGCACCTCAGGCGGTTCCCTCGTCAGATTAATTATCGTTTTTTTTGAAAAAAAAAATAAAAGTCTCAGACGTTCAAATCACGTACTTTCAAACGTCCTAGCTCTCCACTGGAACTATAATGCGGTATTGCTTCGCACTAAATTAATTACAAATGACAAAGCAGAAGTCCCAAACGTTGGCTTTCCAAAGGGTTTTTCATCGGTCCTTTTATTAACGTTATTTTATTTTATTTTATTCTATACGTATTTTTAGGTTTTAACATTAATTGTCTGAATACATATAAAATTGTGTATAAAGCACTACATTAAAGCATTACGCTGTTTATTCACATAAGACATTCTATATTGTGATTTTTTTTGTTGTTATTGTCTGAATAACCACTGAAAGAATTCCTTTTTACCAATTGTTGTTTCTTTAAATTCCTGTTTATATGCTGTTGACGGTAAAACATATAAAATAAATCCCAATAATTGTGGTATATACGATAGAAAATAGGTTATTAATAGTGAATAACGCATCCATGATATTTCGGTAACAGGTGTACATGCTAAACTAAACGAAACAATAATTTGTGGTAGTGAGCTTAGTACAATAATTAATGGTGTTAAATATAATTCTTTTTGTTGATGAAATTGTTTCTTAAATAGTTGTACAAATGTCGGTGGTTTTGCACTTGATGCTAATGTACGTGCACGAGTTTTCGATGTTAATATAATAAGGAAAGTTATTGATATGGTTTGAATGATAAATGGTATGGTATAATGAACAATAACATTGACACGATTATATATTGACACTGATTGTTGTAGATAATTGGTAACACATTGTTGGGATTGTTTTATTATTGTATAATAAAGAAGTTCATGAATATGCATACCAAATACAATTAGCAATATAATTATATTTAATATGATAGCTATTCGAGGTTTTCTAAATGTTGTTATCGTTGGCCATATAATCAGACAGAGACGTTCAATAGTAACTAAACTTGTTAACCAATAACTAGAACGCGTTAATACCGACAATAGATATGAAACCAGTTTACATGAAATCAAATGTATTATATATTGATGAACAAATGCATGTTGTGCACTCAATAGAATATGAACAACTTTGAATAACAACAGTAAAAGTGACCATTGATTCAATATTGTAACAATAAAAAGATAATTACCAACACCAAATTTTCTTGGTTTTGAGCGTTTGAAAGTAACAAAGCTACATGAATTATTAAATAAACCTACTATAAATAAAATAATTACAATACAAAAATAAACTAATTGAACAGAAAATGGATCTTTAGAAAGCAAACTATCCAAAGTAAAACTTAATAAATGTGTACTGAATTGACATAAATGTCCATAATAACATTTTGAACATAAACATAATTGTGTTGTTGTATCTTGTAAACATAAACTATTAGATAAACATAAATTACACTGATCAATTGTATTATTATAGCTAAAACATTCAGCCCGATAATCATTTGCTTCACATACACATAAATAATTTTGATCGCGAAAACATTGTTGTCGTTGGAGTGAATTGTTATCATTGAAATGGCGACGATAACATATATGATGATATTGAAAAACATTATTAATAGTGTCGTTGAGTTCAGCTATCAAAGGAAAACATAGAGAAGTCGTTTGATATGCTGAATAAAACTGTCGACTCGAAGGAAAACATGTTCTTGAACAAAGCATTTACAAAATTCTGTATTAGTTCGACTACTACAGAATTTTATAACCAAGACAGCCAGAAAACCTATCAAGATATCGCCTGCCGTTGAGATATCGAGATATTTAGATAAGTGAATTGTTTACTCTTTCATGTAGATGTCCGTACGAGAGCATTCCCTAGTACTCCAGCAGAGAAACTCATCTTTTTCGATTAAATTTAGTATTTGAACAGCTAAGTTTGTCTGCGCCGATTTAGGTCATTTTGGTTCAATCGGACGAACGTATGAATTTTCGATATTAGTGAATGTAGATTAGTAGAATGACTCCTTAGTGAATCATATTTGGCCTAAAACGTAAACTCGTTTGTGGGCAGTTTCTTCAAAAGCACTTCTAAGCCCAAAGAACAAAATTAGAAAATAAATCTGAGATGACCGACTCTTGGGTGCGCGACACTAGGGCGCACAATGTAGTACACGACATTTGGGCGCAACGACAGTTGAGATTCAAAGGCACAGGTGAGGCTGAGGATGTGGGTAGATATCGACCGGAAACCTATCGATACAGTTTGACGACCTGATTCCGAATATCACCTTGATTTTCCTTTAAAGTGTAACACGAGTGCCCAAAGCCGGAATTCCTACTTAGAGATCTCGAGTTTTTGGGCATCCTGTAAAATAGCCTAGGAAAGGCTTCATGAGTTTTTGCATCTACCATAAGTAGGATACATATGTAGAAGCATGGAGTAAAAATGTGCGCTCGATCGGACGTTACTCCTTTGTAGCGTTTACAATATACGGAACGGTATGTTTTCAGATAGGTGAACAAGTTTTTTGCGATATTGTTTGCTTCTGGAATATTGTGTTATATTGCCGAGCGGCTTGATTTTCTTCCTTTATGCCGATTTCTGGCCCCAAGCTTTGTCAGGCTCTTTTCTAGGGCTCTATAAAACTTTGAGAACCGCTATTTTAGGAAATGATAGATCACATATGTATGTATCTGTGCAAACGGTTAGATTCCGGAAAAGAATATTTTCGCATATGTCCGCCTGACTCCCCACTGTGAGGCGGACAGTTGCCCATAGAAGCAGTCCTACAGCCTACAAACACCTTTTTATAGGTTTTCCGACATGTTCTTTCCAATTGTGTGCTTTACAAAGCTCAAAGATACTTTCATCTGGGTTTTCCGGAGACCTGGTCTCTAGAAAACCCACACATAAGTATTCTGGAACTTCATAAGGCGCAGCATTGGAAAGAGCATGTCTGAAAACCTATAAAAAGGTGTTTGTAGGCTGTAGGACTGCTTCTATAGCAAATATCAAAATCCTTAGGCAAAATTGTTAAGCTATGCTTCGACTTGAGCGTTTCGTTAGACACAACAAGTTTTTGCTCAGAAAAACCTATTAATCGCGCATCATTCGATATAGTTTCTTGCGGTGATTCTGAATATGTTGTTTTTATTAAATAAAAACATTTCTGGATCGAGATAAATGGAAAATACCTAGAAAAGCTAGGGTTTTTGGAAAATCCATATCTAAGTCCGGGAACGTTTATGCTAATTTATGCTAACTGTGATGATAGAGGGCATGTAGAAGAACATTCTGTAGAATCTTGGACAAGTTTGAAGTTGGGCGGTGGAGGGCGCGCAAATTTTACTGAAACTAGCAGTTCAGAAAACCACTTAGGAAAAACTTTTATTTTTTTGCTCAGCAATCTCCCATTCAAACTCAAAATTTTTTTACTAATGTGTACTAAATGATGCGGAGATTCATAATTGACAACTCATTTGGTTACTGGAGTCTTCGTTTTCGGGTAAAATTAATTTTCCTACCGATGACGCTATTTTCAGACTAGTTTTTAAGTAGCTGGTTTCCCACCCCGCTTGAACTTTATAACAAAGTTTTTTATGTCATCGGATAGAGCATGTCTTGAAGTGTATTGTTCACTATTTGAGTAGTTTAAAAGGCGGTTTGATTTTTTCACCTAATGTCCGTCTGGATGCACACTGTGGCGAGGGGGCGGGCCTTAAAGAAAATTTTATCGTGTGCATCATACTTTAACAAATGCACTCTTATTGAATGCTTGTGTCGTACATGCGCCCAAGTGTCGGCGCCCAAGTGTCGGCGCCCAAGTGTCGGCGCCCAAGTGTCGGCGCCCAAGTGTCGGCGCCCAAGTGTCGGCGCCCAAGTGTCGGCGCCCAAATGTCGCGCGTTCAAGCGTCTGGTAATCCAAAAATCTGTACAGGTATAAGTAATTCGATGTGGTCTATGGAATGATTATTCATAAATCGAACTTGAGAGAACAGCTTTTGACTTTAGAGATTCAGTTTTACAGAAATCGGTCTTCAGAGTTGAACAAGCTCACTATCACACCTGAAACCAGTTTCAATGAGTATCTACAGCATATTTTTTTAACAAATAGCCATTTTATCCTTGAGCACGTTTTCCTCACTATCGACAGTTTTATTAAGCGTATCAGACTATTTATAGTTATGTCTACCTTCTGAAACCAATTAGATGATGAAAAAGATCTCGACATCATCCATCATGAATTTCACTTTTACTTACCAGTTGTCAACAATGTATCAATATGAGGACAATAGTTTCTAAGATCAGTTGTGACATTAATTATTGTTTGATTTTGTTGAATATATAAAATATAGTATAATGACTGATAATCTTTTTGGTATAATTTAAGGATACCAAATATCGGTGCAATAATTTGTTCATGATAATATTCAAAATTACTTGGTGTCAGAGAATAAACTTGTTGATATTTTAATATGAAATCAAATGTTATATTATCAGTATCATAATACTGTATAACTGATGCAAGTATTTCATTTTTCGATGATGACGTCAAATTTTCAATATTAAGATGAATTTTTATCGATATTTTTTCATATTGACAACGATCACCATAATACTTATTTGTACATAAACAAATATAAGGTGTTGTACTACTAAGATCATGTGTTGAATAACAGGTAGAATTATTCATACAAGGAATTTGATTGCATGCGTCATATTTCAAATGGCAAGATGGTCCAAAATGGTTGATTGGACAAATGCACATGAAAGATAGATTTCCAGATAATAAACTACAATAATTAGGTTTACAAAATGATTGTAATGAACAATAGGACGAACATCGTGGTTCATAATACTGGCAAGCATTTCCGTAATAACCACTTTTACACGAACAAATATAAGCGTAGTTTCTCTTATTAAGGAAAGGTTGACAAATGGAATTGTTGTTACAAGTGTTATTTGTACATGGATCAGTGATATTAACTGATAAAAAGTTTAACACTTTTGATAAGCGAAATGATGGTAAATAATCAAAATAAATTGTATAATGCCAAACACCAATTAATCGTATGCTATAATTAACGTACAATTCAAATGCTTCAAATTGAATTGCATATGGATGTACATCAATCACATTTGATCGATTGAAGTAACGTTGTGCTTTATGTTTTAAAAGGCGTTCACTACGAGAATAAAGTAAATGAAATCGATGTTTAACATATTTATTATCGACTTCTAATAATGGTCGCACATTAAACTCATAATAATCAATTATCTCTGTATCATCAAATACAAGTGTCGCAATTATTTTAATGACATTATTACCAAAGTTATTTAGTTTTGATGTTAATTGCAGATGTGTAACTACTGTTAAACGATCGCTATAATATTGGCATTTTGATCCATAATAAGTTGGCGGACAAAAGCATCTAGTTGCATTAAGTTGATCAATAGCAATACCACGGTTGCAATAAAAGACAATTTTTGAATCATGAATATATTTATCTACATCTGTTTCTTGTGATTTAATCTGATGTATTTTTGCTCGGTGTTGTTGTTGTCTAACAATGTGCACCTCTGATAATGGAAAATAAGTTAAATCTAATTTTTTTTCTTTTCTATATTCAACATAACGCTTATTGCCACGATAGTGTAGCATATCTAACCAATCATTTGATGAACACCAATATTCATCTTCACCATTTGGACAATCAATATAATTGTCACAACGTGCGTTTTCTATACATTCACCATTCAAACATAAAACATCGTTTGCACCGTGACATTTAATTTCAGTGTTATATGCTTTATAAAAACATAAGTGTTGATCTTCATTATCAGGACAACGTTTTCGACATAACAAATGTGTTGCTATACAGGACAAACTTTTTTCACAAAGAAAATCAAAACCAATTTGTTCACGAATATCACCACATTTATTTACTAGATTTCGTTCATCAAGGCCACCGTAACACTGAATTATTCCATCACCAATTTGTTCAATTTCGATACATGGTCGACTTTGACTGAAGTCAAATGGATCCTTTATTACATCTGTTAACAATAATAAACACGGATATTCTTTTAGTAAATCACAGTGATTTGAAAATGGTTGATTATCGTTATTGTAATGTTCAGCGCACATAACTTTTAATTGTTGTAAATCAAAAATCGCTTGATTATGCAAAGATAAATTTTTCATAACAAACAATCGCTGTTCATCAGAGGCATCAGGGCAATCCCAAGTACCTGCAAAAACAAGAAAAAAATATGTTCTATTTATTTTCAAGCGTTACTTGAAACTTTTCCTTTTATAAAATACCTTTAGTGTGCAACGTTTTATCTTCTTTTCCTGTCATTACGATATATGTAAAAACTTTTAAAAGAACCTTTAAATTTACAACTTACAATTAGCTATGCTCTCTATCGATGAATATTTCTTACTATTTCTCCATTTTTTATTTGTTTATTCTTTTTTCTGTTGTATGGAAGTTGTTCAAAGATATACTACTAGAGCGAAGCCGAAACGAACGAGACTTTGGTAATTTTCCTGCCGCGAAAAAGCGTTCTTTCCATAAGAATGAAACTTCGTCTGAAGTAGTATGTTTCGATAGAACTTCAGTCTTGAGATATGCGCAGTGAAAAAATGTGAAGCCAGATCTAAACTTTTTTCAGGCTGGAATGCTGCAGGATTTACAGAGGTAGAATAGCCAACATTTACGTACATGTTCACATATTCGGAATAAGCATAAAAGTAAAAATCAGTGGGAAGCTAAAAGCACTAAGGGAAAAAGCGCTGACAGAATAAAAAGTGTAATACGGCTATGAGGAACATTTTAGATTAACTATAATCCACTTGAACTATTTATTTCGAGCCTCCGGCAAGTGCTCTCATTATCGTCAGGTAACAATATGACAAGATAAGAAAAATGATCACTATCATATATGTCTAGGTAGTAGTAAATCTGACTCAAATCATGGTGAGAGTGGAACATGAACAAAAAGAAAAATATATTTGGAACATATATATGCGTATACATGCTCCAAGACGAGTGTCATCATGAATAAAGTTTAAACTAAACCAGAGATGGGCAGCTCCGACTCCGGCTAGCTCCGCTCCAGGAGCGGAGCTGGAGTGAGCGCTTCATAAAAAGTATGGAGCGGGAATTTTCTGGTTGGGGAGGAGCGCTTCGTAAAAGCCATGGAACGGGAGTGGAATCGGAGTGACCCTTTTTTTTTGTTCTCCTTCAATAGGTCCATTTTTTCTTTCGTTGTTCTATAAACAGTGATAGATTAATCAGTCGGAAGAAAGCTCCTCATCGGCTATTCGTCGCAGTCGATATGCCTCCGTCGCATGCATAATTAGTCGCAGAAGACAAGACATACAGACACGGACTATTCGCGCAACGACTACTCCGTCCGCTGAATTTTCTTCCGGTCAATTGACCTGTGACATTGTGAACTTGAGAATGTAAAGAACGATGTCAACGGGAAGAGAAACGCCGCTACAAAAAGGAAGAAGCAGAGTGACGATACTGACCTGACATCTTCAAAAATAAAGAATTTTTATTCGTGTTTGCATCGACTCGTGACTCGACTGCTTTGCGTATGCTACCTTCGGTCCAATGGAATGGGTGTTTTCTTCAATTGGCGTACTTATGCGACCTCATTGCAGCCGACTCTCTACGCATATACACTGAAATGCAATCGGCATTTGCTCTAGTTTTACTTAGTTTTATTTTCACGCTATAAATGAAACTGACCAAAAGTCATTGTAAATTAGATTGTTCTTGTCTATATTGTGTATAAACTATGAGATAAACCGTGAACCGCATAGCTCTCTATGAAACTACGTGGAGGAAAGGCGAAAAATGCTTTTTATCGATTCACGGTAATGTCGGGGTCGCTTAAGTGTCGCTCGCTTAAATATCGGTCACACAAACGCCGATTAATCGAAATTCCAACCTTAGATTTTTCTTGACATACCTCGCGATAGATCAAAACTCAGTAAAAAATGGTCATAACTCGAGAAGAAAGGCCTATGGGCACGAATCCGTTTAGGGTTTTTACTAGCGCACTAGACTCAATCAATCGACATATGAATCGTTGAAAACGGAGTGTACCACCCAGGGATCTTTTGAACATGTATGTTAATCGATTACCAAATCAGCTAATAAAAATTTATGTCTATTATATGAAAGTAATCGAGGGGTGTCAGAATATCATTACGCAGTGTATTCTCAAAAAGAGACTGTTTTTTTCAAACTTGCTGGGCTTGGTGCATTCTCGTGCATTCCCACTGAGAATACACCAAGCCCAGCAAGTGTATTCTCACTGACAATACACGAGAATATACCAGAATACGCAAATATATAAATTTCTACAAAACGTGCTGGGCTTGCTGGGCTTAATGTATTCTCACTGACCATACGCAAATGTTGCATAGTGACTCACTCTCATGCTGCATCTCCAGCAAATAGTGTCTTTTTGAGAATACACTGCGTACTGATATTCTGACATCTCTGAAGTAATCAGCCTTGAAAGCATAAACCTAGCCTTATTGAAAATTAAGAGAAGAATTGTGTCGATTTTTGTTCAAGAGTGGTAGGGGAATCTGTGAAAGGCCTAAACAATTACTTTGGACTGTGAACAAACAAGTTTTGTTAACCCCTATAAGTCCCTTTGCGAAGATGCTAAAAATTGTCGGATTCAGCAGTTTTGTACAACGAACAATTCTTTACAAAATCTGATATCGAACTAAGCTGTAGCTTCTACCCAAAGGAAGCTTCTACCCAAAGGAAGCTACATGCATTTTCCCAAAAGGTCTGTCTACATGAAACGCTTTTCGGTCAACAAGTCGATTTTTCAAAAATCACAATTTAGGAAAAACGAAAACTCAGAAGCCTTGTCGAAAGACAAAAAGAACTCAAGTAGTACATTTTGTAGGGTAGATTTTGCTCTACAAGCTGGTATAACAACAAACGTTCCAACTTCCAGTTTCGGATCACAAAAGTGAAAATACAAAAATGTGTTGAAAAATTTCCGTTCAAACGACTTTTTTGGGCCTGTCAAAGATTAACTCACTACTCTCAAACAAAAATCGACACACAATTTCTGACACAAGTCCATATTCGGAAAGAGCACAAAATTCTGGTTCTAACGCATAGATTCTGACTTGTCGGAAATACTTTCAAACGGGTCAAAAATGACCAAACATTTTGTGTCAAAACTTTCTGACTACCCGTTATGTAGTTACTCTCGGTTTTTGACGAATTCAACCAGCATTTTTAGTTGTAAATATCTTAACTTTAGCTTTTATAGTCGGTTTTACATGGAAAATACGAAAGAAACAGTTTTGGAAAATAAAAGAAAGGTTTAAGATAAAAATCTGGCTCATTTGTAGAAACTTCGCTCAATTTCATGAATGTCTCATAGATTTAAATTTTTGTTCTATAAATTTTTAGCTCTAGAGAAAAATATGTTAGGAGGTTAGCGCTTGATTTCAATGACTGTTACTTTGAATAACTGAGAGAATCGGGAGAAGAAGAAGAGTTGCGGATGTGCCCTTGTAAGACGTTTTTCGTGTAACTGAGCAACTGAATTTTAGCACTACTTGAATCTTGTTCAGCGCTTCGCAAGGCTCATAAAAGCAATAACTAGCGTATAACTTGATAACTTTGCAGTAGATACAGCGGCGATCCTGATTAAAGACTGATTAGACATGTCATCTAAAGGCATGCGTTCAAACGTTGTTCAATGAATTGTCAATCGCCTTCAGTTTTACTGCAGACAGCAGTATAAATCTGTACGGAAAAGTTCACTCTTTTAATAACTTACCGTCACAAACCCAATGGTAGGGTATGCATTGACCAGTTAGGCATTGGTATTCATCTTTTGGACAAATCCATTCCCGGCAGTTGTCGGATGACTCATCAAATGTCGTATTTGTATTCCAAAATGTATCACAATAATGGTGAAACGGAATTAATCTCCAATCTCCCGTTGTTCTAGGCGATGTAACATTTTTTACTGATATCCAAGATTGTTTGATATAGTTTTTTAATACATAACATCCGTTATCGTCACGCTGATTACATTGTATATCAGACAAAGGTAAACCCTCGCCAAATAAATATTTATCATAATTATTTTTACAATTCATCCCACCATCGATTAAAGTAAATACTGTTAAACATTTTGGTTCATCGTCCGAACATTTAAAACGATATTGTTCTTGATTCGTACATAGAGTTGAATTTAATGAATTTATTTCATCCGTTTCATAGAAACAATCAGAAAATCCATCATTAATGCGATAATCCGATAAACATTCTTGAGTGTCATTACAAATATCGGTGAATTGATATGGCAAATTATTAAATGTTTTTGTTGTTTGTGACCAACAATTCAGATCATAATGTGGTGCTAATAGTGAATTATTATGTTGCGTAGCTATAAAATTACAAAATAAAGAATCATATAAACGATCATGAACAATTAATGTATAAAGAAACAATAAATCATTTGTAGCAGCAGCTTGAGAACCACGGCATTTGATCGTACCACGAAACATAATCCGAGTTGGATGTTTATCAACCCAATTGTGATCATTATTATAAACGAGACTTATATAAGGTCTTATTAATGGTTTTATTGGATATTGAATGTTCCACGGGCAATGCTTCAGTATTAAGCCACTGCAATTGTTTCCTGCACACGGACATTTTAATTCAAATCCACCTGACAATGCACATTTAACTAAATATAAACAAGTTGTTGTTGTATTATTATCATATGTTGTATCATTATAATTTTTAAATGGCCAGCATAAACCATTTGCTAACGTCCAATAAGAATCATCAAGACTTGTTTCACAGATATAGTTATATTCTCTCATACTTAAACAATGACCATAATGTGGTAGATGTATATTTTGAAATGTTAAACGATCTCTTGGATATATGCATTCACCGTCACCACATGACCAAAGTTTATATGAACAAAAGCTTTCATCACAATCAAATGATTTGGATTCAATAAAACAATTATATTTAACCATTACATTTTGTTCATCTGTATTATCCATACAATCCCATTCACCTACAAAGCATCAAAATGGCAACACTTTGTGAAGAAAACAGCAATGCATCTTACAGTAAAACAACCTGATACATTCAAGTAACATTTGAATGTAACATTCGTCGAAATTTTTGCATGTGTGTCCCAATAAAACAACAACTAACTTTTAAACAAAGAAGTTATTATTCGCTTATTCCTCTGAAAAATCACATTTCTTGAGTCAAAACTAATTTTTGTTCACATGAACATTTAATTTCACTGACGAGGGACCTTCGTCGGATGTAATACTCGGATTTCACAGATCTTTGGCCAGTCCATAGCATTTATGGCTCTAAATAAAAAGCCTAAAAGGATAGGTGCCCATATTGCTTCTTTCAAAAGTTACGAATTTTTTGATTTCGCTTGTACAACCTGTACCAACAGAAGAGTAAAAGATTCAAAACTCCGCCAAAAAAGTCGCAGGTATTTGAAATTTTTTATAGAAAATCAAATCACTCTGGAACGGAAAGAGTTTGAAAGCTGGAAGTTTCTGGAGTTAGAATAGACACCTTGAACTATCACTGGAAAAAATTCCAGATGTCTACGACCTTTTTTGGCGGAGTTTTGAATCTTTTACTCTTCTATTGATAGAGCTTGTACAAGCGAAATTAAAAAATTCATAACTTTTGAAAGAAGCAATATGGGCACCTATCCTTTTAGGCTTTTTATTACAGTCATAAATGCTATCGACTGACGAAAGATCTTTAAAATCCGAGTATTACATCCGGCGATGGTCCATCGCGAGACCAAATGGTTTCGAGAAATTTCTGAATATCAAAACAGTTCATATTGCTCGAATATTTTTTTCTAGTAAAGTTGAATCCGAAATTTTGTGAGATTCCACGTAAAAATGTTTGCATACTAAATGGAGTAGCAGTCTATTTTTCATAGGGTACATATTACGGAACTAAACGAGAACACACACGGAACGAACCGTTCCGACGATTGCGTGTGCTACAGATAATGAAATAACATGAAACACGAAATCACGTTCTCTTATTATTTTGCGTGTACATTATTCATAAAACTCTAGAATATATTTTTATAAAGGCCGTAAATATGAACGGCGATTTTATCAAAAGATTAGTGTTGACATGTTCGAACGTTGATCACAGTAGTCGTGTAATAACTTTAGACAAACGTTGTCTCTGATCGTGGTCTATAGCTGAACGAAATGGAGTTAGTTAGTTTCGTTGTTTGTACCGTTTGTGTTTTATCTGGCGTGCTAGCTCCTAATGGTAATGATATACAAGATATACTCACCATCAAGAAAATACTCATGTGGTATGCACATGCCATTTCGACAACGGTATTCATGTGGTTCACATTCATTAAATTCCAATAGATCACATGATTCTTCATCTTTACCATCCATACATTGTTGTTCACCATCACATATGTTTCTCCAATCCAAACACAGCAGACCGTACTCACATGATGACAAGGTTGTATAACATAATATATCACCATGTATTTGATAACCATGATAATATAGACTTTTTAATTGAAACTGTTTACGAACTGTTTGTTCAAACGTTGTTGTTTCATTATATAAACGATATTCACAATACTTTCCAAATGTTGTTGGATCTGTACAATTACATATGAATTTATCATCATCATCAGAACTATAGTGTTCTAAGTAGGTTGCATAATGATCGAGTTGGCGAATAGAAGATGAATGCCAACTTAATAATTGGTCTACTGTTATATTTTGTCGTCGCAGAGTTAAATATATATAGCTGATACCTCCATTGAAACAATCATTATGCAAAAGTCGATTTTCACTATTATTCCCAGGACGACGACAATATTTCACTGTTACATCATCTGCTGACTTGTGATAAACACAATCGAAATATTCTGAAGACGGATCATTATCTGTAGCATACAGCAAAATTTGTCCAGCGACACCAACTAATACCTTGTTTATAATGAAAATGAGTATCATCATTGTTAAAATTTGGAATACTTCAACAAAATTCTAAAAAAGAAAAAGTCTTGCTCAACATACTCATGTAACGAAAAACTCTCGCGGATACGGTTTATTTAAGTAGTATTACATTTTGTAACGCATACTTACCTACACCATACATTTCAAAAAAAATACAAGATGGCTATATATATTTTCTTATAAGAATATTCTAAAAGAAATCGGTACAGACTCGGAATATTTCAGTTCAATTAGCCAAAAGTAATGTAACAAACTCTAAATCTAATCAAATATAACTTTATTTATGTTTATATGAAAGCGGCTTTTAAATCTGTTCGAATGATGCAAGTTGCATCGTTCGAACAGATTACCACACTCCGGCACTCCGTACAATGGTGCGAAGTTAGGGATGGCTCAGTGTCGGTGCACTGATAACCGACGACACCGACACTGACGATCACTGATACACTGAAATACTGACACTGGCAAACACTTGACACACTGACGCACCTACACTGACAATTACTGAAACACTGAATTACTGACACTGATGAACACTGACGCACCGATACTGACAATCAGTGAAACACTGAAACACTGACACTAACCAGAATACCTGGGCAGAAGATCAAAAGACTTTCTATGTCCATTACCATCATGAATCATGTGTATATTCCGTCGATGCTTTCTTTCTTTTTGCTGGCAGGCGTATAGGCGCACACGTAAACAATTCTCTTCTAGCCAGAGGCAGTGTGTCGGTCTTCCAGTGATCATCAGTGTTGGTGCGTCACTATGTCAGTGTTCATCAGTGTCAATGCTTCAGTGTTTCAGTAATTGTCAGTGTAGGTGCGTGAGTGTGTCAAGTGATCGTCAGTGCCGGTGTCATCAGTGTCAGTATCTCAGCGTTCGCACCGACACTGAGCCATCCCTAGATGCAAGAAGCAAACCTTCAGCACGTTTTTTCCTTCACGGTAAACTAAGCCGTGGAACTTTCTTTTGAGGTCTAACCAGCCTCTTGAAAAACATAACCAATAATAAATGTGCTAAAGAAAACTAGTGTTAAAAAGTTTAATCCGGCATCCTATTTGAATAGTTAAAAGACATAAAAGTGCAACTCACGGAATGCTTTTATTTGATAAGGTAATTACATGTTCGGTTATTTGTCGTAAACTTTATTATATTATGACACATTTAATGACAGAAGTAGTCATCAACCGATGGAAGAAATTATAATTCATGCATACCCAAACGCAATCCTGTTCAGAACTCTATCAAATAGAAACTCATTCGAATCCCAATCATCAAGTTTAGACTAATATTATATTTCTGTTAAACATAAAATAGGACACAGACCAGTCAAGTTTTAGGAAAGAAAACAGCTACTTTGTGGAAGGTCTGCTATGGTTTCTTGCTCCATGAGGAGCGAAGGCATTAAACAGAAACTATAAAGCTATGACTATAAAACAGACTGATGTTTTATAGTTTCTCTATGAGTACTGCCGATCAGGTAACATTTTTATTTTGAGATCTTTGTATAGTCTATATGTTTAGTATTTCTCTGATGTACGGGCTCAATTAAAGCTTTTTGAGAAAGACCCTTTTGATACCCAAAACAGCTAAAAGGAAAATGTTCAACGTTGCAACGATAAACATGGTAAGGATTTATGTCTCTTTACCTTCTTACTTACTGAACTGCCGTGCACTTCCTCTGTGAATTAATTACTTTTTTATGTACTTCTACGTTGAAAAGTCAGAAACTGTAGATACAAAGTGCAATAAGTCTGGGTATAGAAGTAGCCTGTACTCCATGTAAAGAAAATAAGAAGTGCCTTGTATATAACGAACACTTTTTTGTATGTCTTTCTAATGAAAAATAGATTCTTCAATCACACACATGTCTGCCGTATAGCTTATACAAAGTATGGACTATATAGACTATATGCATTTGCCTATAAATTTATCTGTCGATAAATGTTCACGTGGAAAGAATTGGAAATAAATTTGTTTGCGTTCTTGTTACAAAGAAAAGTACAGCCTATCTACCACTGATCCTGTTTCTTGAAAATGTGAAGATCAGTCCAAGATTTACTGTTTATCTGATCAGTAGAAAAAGATAGATTTTCTTTAACAATTTTTGGAATTTCCAGGAAAAATGTTACTAGCCGATCTTATAAGGTCTTGTATGATTCCTATGGTAAGATTCCATAAGACTGCTATTAAGCGAATCTTGTAAGATTTCCACTAGCGTCTTAGATTAAGAATCATACAAAATCTTACAGTAAGAAATTCATCAGATTTTAAACGATCTTACAGTAAGAATCGTACGGTATCTTATAATCTGTAAGATCTTGTATGATCTTAATACGATTATTTGACCTGGGTACATCCTATTGTTCTGTCGGACGCAGAGCGCCCATTGTAAGCAACATAAAAGATGATAAATTCCAATGTTTAAATAATAATATCAAGTGAACAAAAAACAAAATAAAAGTGGTTAGAGGAGACATTTTCCATTATTTAGCACACTTTTAAGCACACCAACTTTTGTTACTACCAGTAAATGTTCAAAAAATTCTTTTTTGTCACGTTCAATAATTCTCTCTGAATAAAATGACTTATCATAAGTTTTTTCCTCCGTAAACATCCTCATGTCAGGGTTGATATTTTTCCAAAATGTGAAGAAGAAAAAAAGCACAATTGTTCACATCACTGCACTATCATAACGCAGCTAACGTTCTTTTATTTGAATATGGTATTAACAGAGACAGATGTATTTCATCTGACTAGTCAGAGCAAACAAGTCCTTTTTCGACTACTCATTATCAAATATGTATTATCAATTCTTCGAATGCGTTAATTAAAAAATAAATATTTAGTCGCACTTAGAGTAACACTCCCATATCACTGAACATAACCGATGTTTTTTTCTATCGAAGTCGATAAACTTAACAAGTTGGCTGCTGATGCTGAGAGCTTGAAATGTTGAACGAATGGCTTATCCCAGTTGTTAGGATAATAAACGTTATCTACGCACAAGTTTCTTATGGCGGTGTTAAAAGAAGCAGCATGACGAAGATAAAGAGTACTACAAATATCTATGAACTGAGTTGAACTTAGTGCCAGTATAACCGAGCTCCCACAATACCGAGATTCATACTAAGACACCTGATTCAAAGAGAAAATATTGTTTGATAATTTACTCTAAGTCATAGAAAAAATGTTCTTCCGCGTTGCAGTAACGTGTAATATAGTAAAGAGTTGAAGCTGCGCCGTTATTATCACAGGTAAATGATGACACTCGTAGACGAGGATGATGACAAGTTCAAGTCTGGTTATGAACTTAAAATAGATGGCTCAAATAAAAGTAATCGTAGTGATGGCTTTATTACAATTGATTCCTACTTTTTTTGTTGATAGTTTAAAAATAGTGAACAGAAAAAATGGTTAGAGTAATAGCTGTGTATATTCACCTGTTCTTCAGCAAGTTCTTTTCGACAAATTCCCGAAATAAAAGGTATACTACTAATTTTATCGACTTTGAATTATTTGCGTACAATGTTAGAACATTATTAAATCTTATTTGAACATGCAAATATTTATTATTCAAACAGTTACGCAGTAGACAATAATCATATCGAAATAATATTCTAATAGTTTAAAAAATCACATTTCTTGAGTCAAAATTAATGCAATGTTACATTCAAATGTTACTTGAATGTATCAGGTTGTTTTACTGTAAGATGCATTGCTGTTTTCTTCAATGGTAATCAGAGATACATAGAAAGGAAAAATTACTAGAGCTGTTATGATAGCCCTCGTAATTTTTCCTTTCTATGTAT